TGGATGGATAATATAATTTAATATAATATAATTAATTGTTTGAAGACCTGGATCAAATTTTTACAATTATAACAAATATTTTTTTCATTTATTTGTGCCAGAATAATTTATTAATCCAGAAACAAAAATTACAACTGAAAGATTTATAAAATCAGCTGAGGTGGTTTGTGCATCTGATTAGGATTCAAGGATATTTATTTGTCATTCCCTCAAAACACAAACATCAGGCCCCTCAATCAGGTGTCATTTGTTCAATTTCTTTCTGAGTGTCGGTTGTAATTATTTGTCAGAGCATATTTCATATTTTTCCCTTCTGTGTTTGAGTATTAATGAAGCTGTTTATTTGTTTTTTTGTAGGAAACAGATTGGAAGGTGCTGAAACTTGTTCTGGACAAGCTGCCTTGGATGCTTCAGTTCAAAGTCCTGCTGCTCACGTCTCCATGCAGTTTAGACCAGCTGTGCTCCACTCTCTGCCTCATGGTATGGCATGTTTATGCACATAGAACAAATCCGTATAGTCTGTTTAAAAACTGCGACATTTAGTCATTTTGAAGTTAAACAGAGTCTTCTCTTTGCAGGTGACAGATCGGCTGATCTCTGAACGTTTGAAAAAGATCCCGGAGGGTTTTTCCCGTACAGATGTTCAGTTGGCTGTGGTTCCTGTTCTTACAGCTATAACCTCTTACCACAACTACCTGGAGCAGTCAAGACAGGTAAAAACGATTGCATCTAGAAATTGACCATCTGGTCAACTTTCAGCAAGTTTTTATGTTGTGGAAATCATAGATCTGGGTAATGGGCATTTTTCTACGACTTCGATTATTAAAAATTAGTCAACGCAGCATTTTAATGTTCCCATCGTATTATTTACCACATAAATGTTTATTTCTAGCTGCAATTTAGTACATAAACCTTGCGGCCGAATCACTTCTACTGTCTGTGGTTGCACTAAAGAAGAAGAGGTGCTGGTCTGTAAACCACAGAAAAAGCTGCAGCAGGTACATCACAGTGCAATAATAATGGCTTGGAAGTGGAGCTATCAGTTATGCTAACGTTAGCTAAAGCAATAAGTGGAGTCATATGAAATGGCTGAATTATAGTAGTATCTTTTTTTATTATTATTGTGTGTTGAAGTCTTATTTGAACTTTTGGACTGCCAGATCCAGCAAGATTTCAAACAGTGAATTATTTTTGTACTTTTCTGCACTTGAATGTCACTTTAACCAAAGTTATTATTTAGTTTGTTTTGGGTTTGCGATATTACATCTACACCCGGCAGGGAAGGTTAATAGCCCTTTATTATTAATGTTAGAAATACCTGTGATTAAGCTCAAGCTTTACGGGTTAATATTTTAACTTGCTGTGAGTACGTTACTTGTTATGTTAAGGTAGAGGCTTGATGACAGGGTGACACTAGTTGCGTTTCCAGTGACCATGAAAATGCGCAAATTAGAATTTCGAAAATAAATTTGCTCAATGGAAACACGTCAGTTTTGAAAGAAATTACGTTTTTCAACTAAATGTTTTTGCGCTAGGATGAGGTGGTTTTTCGGCCGTATCGAAATTGATGTTTTCCACAAAACTGCAATGGAAACACTTTTTCCGCATCATGGGAGTCACGTGATCAACAACTGGCTGTTTCTATTGGCGAAAAAGACGACAAAGAAGAAGAGAACAGGAAGTAGAAGCAGTAGTAATATCACAGAAGTAGTAAAAGAAAGTAGTAAACTCATCGACTACAATTTCACAACAACACAACATACGTAGCCGCTCCCAAGTAGGGGCTTGTCGTTGGAAAGCCTCGATAAGAAGCTGACGTCTGCTCTGATGAAGAGCGCTAGTGTCTCGGTAACAACATGCTATGTGTTTACATCCAGCACCGCCATGTTTGTAATGACTTATCACGAGAACAAACGTATTCACATGTGTCTTTAATAACATTTCTTACTTAATGGAAACACAGCAGTTGCAAAACTGTGTTTTTTCGACATTAACAGAATATCAACAAAGTTTTGCGCACATTTGCAATGGAAACACAGCTACTGACAGGTGTGAGCAGGTGAGATGTGCACTGGAGCTGGAGGTGCGCCCACAGAAAGCATAGATGAAAGTTCTAACAGAAATCGTTGACTAATAATAATAAAAATAAATAAATAACACTACTAATAATACAAATATGAATAAATATACAAAACATAAAATAACTTTTAGTTGACTATCAAAATAGTTGCAGCTCTACTGGGTAACTGACTATCAATTACGTTTGGAGCCATGTGTTTGATATTTAAATACCACAAGCCCATTACTGCAGGGCCCTTTTTTTGTTTTAAACGTGATTTCAGGCTCTTATCACACACATGAAAGACAAACGTTTAGATTCTACTCTCTTTAATTTCCTTTCTTCCTGCAGAGAGAACTGGTTCAGTGCCTTGAGACTGGCCTCATTTATCGCTGTGCCAAGCAGTGTGTGGTGGCTCTTACAATGTGCACGGTGGAGATGCCTGATATCATGATCAAGCTCCTCCCTGCGCTCATCGTCAAGCTCACCCACATCTCTGCTACTGTTGCCATGGCATCTCCCATGCTTGAGTTCCTCTCCAGTGAGTTCTCAAAGAAACACCTTCTGTGATTTATTAAACATATCAGAATTATCTGGAGCACAAATCGTTTTGATTGATGTTTTGGATCCTTTTGTCTTTCACAGCTCTGGTGCGTTTACCCCACCTGTACGCCAACTTTGTAGCTGAGCAGTATGTTAGTGTGTTTGCCATCTCGCTGCCCTACACCAACCCCTCCAAGTTAGTACTGCAAAATGACACATGCATATTCAAAGTTTCACAGATGCTCTCTGACTCCTATGTTTTTAATCAGGTTCAACCAGTATATTGTGTCTCTGGCCCACCATGTGATCGCCATGTGGTTCATACGCTGCAGACTTCCCTTCCGCAAGGACTTTGTTCAGTACATCACAAAGGTGAGAATTAAAAAACAACGCCTCCAAAATGTCATCTCTGTCTTGTTTTATAGACCTAAAATATATTAAATAACCATTACAATAAAATTAAAAATATATATATTAAAAAGTCAGGGCTGTTTTGATTTGTCAGAATCAGAATTATTTGCAAGGAATTTGCTTCCCAGGGTGACACACACCTTTTTTTATTTTAAATAAAGACTGTAAAAATACTGTAGGATGTTTAGTTTTTATCATTTTTAAACTAAAAGTTTAAAAATATATTACACGGACGGGGCCATTTTATTTACACGCAAAGCATTCTGGGTAAATGATGACATCAACTAGGTCCTCGGTGCGAGGCTGCTAGCGAGCTATATCCACCCTGAAGGTTAATCTTGGACAATATCTGATGATCGACTCTTTTAAATGAAACCAGAGAGCGTTGACAGAGAGGAGAAGGTAGAAATGACTCAGCCTGGAACTGAAAATATGGATGGAGGACAACAGAGCTGCTTCATGGAAGAAGAACCTCAGCTTAGCCTGTTAGCTTTAGCCCCGATGCTATCACCATATATATGTACTAGCTCAGCGCTACACATTCTTCTCTTGTCACTGAGGTCCTCCATCCACATGACAGAGAGGGGAACGCAAAAACGACTCAGTCTGCAACTGAAAATATAGATGGAGGACCTCAGTTTAGCTTGTTTGTCACGCTAGCACCGAGCTAATACATATAAGGCAATATAACGCGAAGGCTAACAGGCTAAGCTGAGGTTCTTCTTCCATGAAGCAGCTCTGTTGTCCTCCATCCATATTTTCAGTTCCAGGCTGAGTCATTTCTACCTTCTCCTCTCTGTCAACGCTCTCTGGTTTCATTTAAAAGAGTCGATCAGCAGATATTGTCCAAGATTAACCTTCAGGGTGGATATAGCTCGCTAGCAACCTCGCACCAGTGACCTAGTTGATGTCATCATTTACCCAGAATGCTTTGCGTGTAAATAAAATGGCTCTGTCCATGTTAAAATATATTTTTAAAAATGTACAAGACTAAACAGCCTACAGTATTATTACAGTCTTTATTTTACAGTTAAAATAAATGTTTATCAAATAAAGTTTAATGTTACAACTAATCATGGATCCCTTTAACCGTCCTGGACGTGTGTGTGTTTTCCTCAGGGTTTGCGTTCCAACGCTCTGCTGCCCTTCGACGACGGCCACGAGCAGAGTCCGTTTCGTGCTCGCAGCACCAGCCTCAACGAAAGGCCCAAAAGGTAAAGTGCATTTTCCCGCTCAGCTCACGTTCAAAGCAGCACCTCAGCCTTGCGAGGCCGCTGACGTCCACGTGTAAGAGGGTTGAGGGTCGCCGAGAAAACAGCGGACTCAGCGTGACAAATGCGGTGGTGTGACACCCCTCGGGTTGCCATGGTGATGATTAGTTTTCATCTTTTCAGTTTGTTCTGTTTGAATTTGCTTTTTTGTACTTCTTTTCATATCAAAGAAACATGACATGAACACCTGCATATTTCCATGATCTTTCATGTTTTCGTTTTATGCATCAACTGTTTTTGTATTTTGTCCACCATGTTGCTTTATAACTGCTTCAGTTTTGTTGGCTCATTCAGGGATGGAGTAGGCCTCTGTTCTTCAGGTGTGAAGAGTTGTTGTTTAAACCTTTCAGCTGATCGTGAGCAGACGGCAATCCGTCAAAATTAGATCCGATCCTATTTTTGTTGGACGCAAGATCTGCTCCGGAGTCAAGTTCTGTATTGAACAAAATGATAGTTTATACCTTTTTTTGCCCAACACTAATATAAATGCCTTAATGCAACATAAACTAGTGAATTTATGAAGCAGAAATAACTCTTCCTGATGGAAAGGTTGCAGGCCTCTGGTATAAAACAAGCATGACTGATGATGTTCACAGTGTGTGAATGATCAGAGACTGAAGGAGGCACAGTGGCTTTTATTTTTTATAATGACTTAGTTTAGATGTTCTGGGTAAACAGGTAAAGAAATAACTGCTTTTCCATGCTTGTATTTATCCTTTTAAAAAAATTATCACCATTTATCTACTTTTGTTGTCAACAAGCATCATTTAAATTTCAGATGATTTTGGTTTGCCCCCACACTCCCTTTTTAATTTCAAATAACCGTACTGATTTTTAAGAAAAATTGACTTCCCGTTAACACCAGAATATGTAATGTCTGATAATCTTTTAGTGATTTTCAATATTAATCTACATTTAGAATTTCATGTATGGTATCATCATCCTCGTGCCACTCATCATGTCCATTGAAGGTTTGGAGCTCAGCATGTCTACAGTCATCGTTTATGAGATGACTAAATTATATTTACATTTTTACTATATATGCTATAGATCAGGGCTATTCAACTGGCGGCTCATGGGCCACATCCAGGTGACTTCCATCCGGCCTGCCAATGAGCACAATCTATGCACAATAAATAAATAAATAAATAAATAAATAAATAAATAAATGGGGGGTGCTTTTTACTTGATTTAATTTGTGAATGTAAGATTTTGATTCAAAGCAACAAAATAAACGAATTTAACCCTCTGGAGTCCCTTCACATGCCACCGTTAGGCCAAGTAAAACTGGAGTTTTGATAATTGGTATATGCCACATTATTTTCCAGAAAATAACTGTCCTTTTTATGCGCATTGCAGCGGGAGGCTGAAAGAAACAAATCAGTCTTATGAAAAAAACACCGTAATCTTTCTCTCGTCTCATCTTTCTCTCGTCTCATTCTTTTCTCATCTTTCTCGCATCTCATCTTTCTCTCGTCTCATCTTTCTCTCGTCTCATCTTTCTCTCGTCTCATCTTTCTCTCGTCTCATCT